AAAGGTCACCGCTGGGTTTGGGGACGCGGGGTCACCACCGGGTTTTTGTGACTCCTGGACCCACCAGTGTCCGGGACATCCTCGGAAAACCGCACGAGTCCCCAAACCGGGTGGTGACACCAAATCGCGATGCTGTCCCTAACCCTCCTGTGGGTTGGGTCCTCGTTTTGAATCCGCAGCGCCGCGCGCCACCACCTCCACCACCACCACCGCCACTACCACCACCGCCACCTTCTCCTCACCTTCCTCCTCCGCCTCCTCCTCTTTCTCCCTCCTCCTCCTCCTCCTCCTCCTCCTTGCGCTGCCTTCCACATGTCTGTCTCGGCGCACCCCTCCCTCAAACGCTTCGTGCCCCCAGTGGGGGCTCCTTTTAAGGCCCCAGGGGCAGGGCCCGCATGGTTACCAGGCCCATGTCGGCGCACCCTCACACGTTTACAACCAGAGCTCTACTCCCACCAGCCCTCTGGGCGTCGGTGGTTTAAGGAGTTTCCTCTTCCACCCCTCCCTCTTCCCCTTCGGGGAGGGGTTTACCCCTCCCCCTACCCCCTCCCCACTGACCTGGACAGGGGGTTCCGCGGCGCGTTGGAGCGCCCAAGATCGACCCCTGGGAGGGCTAAAATTCGACACCCCTCACGAGGATCGTGGATCCTGAGGGGGGGACTGTAATTAGGGACCCCCCCCTTCGTTGATCGATCTCCTCCAAGATGGCTCCGAGGCCCCCCAAGAGGCCCCCAGGAGGCCCCCAAGAGACCCCCAAGAGGCCCCAAGAGACCCCCCAGAGGCACCCAAGAAGCGCCCAGGAGGCCCCAAGAAGCGCCCAGGAGGCCCCCAAAGGCCCCAAGATGGCCCCAAGAGGCCCCAAGAGGCCCCCCGGAGGCCCCAAAGAGGATCCCGAACGGCCCACAGAGGCCCCCCCGAGGCACCCAAGACGCCGAAAAGCCCCTCAGGACGACCCTCTACTCGCCTGGGCGTCGTTTCTGGACGGGCTGGTGGGATTTTATATATATATATATATATATATATATATAAACAGCCGCAGGCGGAAGCGCCAGCGGCGGAAGGTCGCGAACGGGCCGCGGACGCGACTAAATTACCTAACGCGCGCAGGGCCGCGGATCAGGCGGCTCACGACAACGTCCAGGGGGGCGAGGCCGATGCAATCCAGGTGCCATGACAGCCCCTGAACGGGCATGCAGGTGCGTCCAACGGGCCTGAGGTAGGCACCGAGACGACCTAGCGCAGCCAAAATGGCGCGATAACGTTCCAACGTCCAGGTGCGGACAAGGGAACGACCCGAGGACGTCAGCCCCAGCCTGTCGGGTAGCACAGACGACGGGGAGGTAAGTCCAGCGAGGATCCCGACGGCGGCAGCGAGCCGCGGCGCCAGAACGGCATCAAGGTGTAACTGGTGGGGATACGCGAAGCGTCTAGAATTCTTGAGCTTCAGCTCTAGTGGCCGGGGTGGCTTTGCCGGGGTAGGGGGACGGGGGGGTCGATTGAATTCCCGGGGCGGGATCGGAGCTCCAGCGCAGTCTGGGGCGGCCCCCTCGCCCGGGAGGGCCCAAGCATGGGCCAAGAGGGCCCCGAGTCGCCGAACGATCGCTACGGGGCGCCCAGGATGCCCCCGAGCCTGGTCCAGAAACCTCCAGGATGCCCTCAGATCAGGGGGACGTAAGACCTGGGTACAGGGGACTCGGAAATCCCCGACGAGGTCGTCAAAAAAATGACGAGGCCGAGCCTGCATTTTGACGAGGCCTCCCGCTGCTAACATCAACACCATAAAAAAAAAGAAAAAAAAAAAACAAAAAAAAGAAGAAAGAAAACAAAAAAAACAAAAAAATAAACAAAACAAAAGGAAAAAGAAAAAAAATAAAAAAACTAAAGCCCAACAAAAAGCAAACACAAAAAAACAACATAAAAGCAACACAAAAAACAGCAAAAAAAAAAAAAAAGCAAAAAGAAAAAAAAACACAAAAAAAAAAAGCAAACACAAATCGGAAAAAACAGAACATCCCAGAGGGAGACGGTTCTCAAAATCCGAGTCGCGGTCGTCAAAAAACGATGGCGAACCCGAGTCCTGGCAAACCCGGGTCTTACGCTCCCCCGATCCAAGATGCCCTCAGAAGACCTGAAAAAAAAAACCTCCCGGAAAAGGCCAAAATAAACAACACATGTCCAATTCCCTATGGCAAGCGTGCAATTTTAGCCGGCTCGCCTCTCGGGCCTTCAGAGCGTCGCATACGCCGCAAGAGAGCCCCAAAACGGCCCAAGAAGCTGCCAAGAGGGTTCCAAGACTGCCCCGGGCCCAAAATGGCTCAGGAAGCCAGCGGAAAAAACCCAAGAGGGCCCAAGGACGGACCCAAGAGGCGCATGAGAGGCGCCAAGACGGCGGACGAAATGCCGAAGGCGGCCGTATAAACCCCCAGCAGGCCCCCAGAGGCCCCCACGAAACCTTAAGAGGCCCCACGACGCTTCCAACTGGCCTCGAAGAGGCTCCCTGAAGCCCTCCAAGGCCTCCAAGAATGTCACACATGCACCCAAGACGCCTTCGAGAGGCCTCCAAGCTACTTCCAAGACTCCCCCCTCGAGACGCCTCCAAGCTGTTTCCACGGCGCTTACGTCTGAACACAAGCGCTACAATACAAAAAGGTTCGTCTACGCACTCACATATTATCCCGTCTTCGGTGTCCTTCACATCCATGACCTAACAAAAGGGCCTGCAGATGACCGCGCGAAGGCCCCAGAGACCCCTAAAGCCATGGTTCCCAGCAGAGACGGAGTGAGTGCGCCAAATCGGCGAGGTGCCAACCCGAAGAGGGCCAACACCTGGCCCCAAAGAGGCTTTCCAACAACCGCAGAACACCTCCAACAACCGCCGAAAATCTCCTCATCCTCGTCATGCTCCTCCTTCTCCCCCTCCCCCTCTTCCACTTTCCGCTTCCTCCTGCTCCTCCTCATCCTCAGCATCCTGCTACTCCTGCCCCTCCCCCCCCACCCCCTCCCACCTCATCATGATCCTCCTTCCCCTCCTCATCCTACTCCGTTGCCTCCATTCCCAATTCTCATCATCCTCACCGCTCGCCGTCGTCGCTGGTCTCGTGTGCTTCCGGCAGCAACGGAAGCGTCCCGGATCGGCGGCACTGGCCGGAGGCCACTACAATAGCTCTACATCCACATGGTCACCTGGCCAATTTCGCGCACCCCTCAAGCGCATCGTGCCCCCATGAGGACTTCCGCTTCAGGCCCCAGCGACAGGACCCGCATGTTTGCCCAGCCCATTTCAGGGCACACCTCACACGCTTTTTGGTCGCAAAGGTAGGAAGCTCTACGGCAAGGTCCGCATGACTACCCGCCCAATCTCGGCGCACCCCTCACACGCTTTGTAGTCCCCTAAAAAGCCCCTAAGAAAACCCAAGTGGCTAGATCCGCATGGTTACCCGGCCAATTTCGGCGCACACCTCACACGCTTCGTGACCTCATACAGAGCTCCACCGAAGGCCCGAGTGGCTGCGGTTGCATGGGGCCCCGCTAGATTTGGGCACATCCCTCACGCCTTCAGCTAGGGCTCCCAACTTCGCGCTTCGCGCTGCGCGAAGCGCGAATAACTTCGCGCTCTCGCGCCGCCCTCCCAAAGGGAGAAGAGGAGGACGAGGAGGAGGGGGAGGAGGAAGGAGGACCGCGAAGCGCGAATAACTTCGCGCCCTCGAGGGAGCCCTTGCTCACGCCTTCAGCGTGGTTCGACGCTCTCTGCGAAGCGCAGTGCTCCCGCGCACGGAAGGGTCCTGCTTCTAGTTGCCACGGTTTGCAAAAAAAAATGGTCGGGCTCTTCGACGGGCTAACGTTTCGATGCTGGAGGAGCAGCATCAGCGGCGAGGTGGGCCCTGGAGGCCGAAGCGGCGAGGACAAGAAACGACAGAACGACGCCGCCGTGGAAGAGCTCATCTCGTCGCAGCGAACGACGGATGAGAGGAGGAGGAGGAGGAGG